ACACTAGAAATCCCATGATTTTCAATGGCCCTGGTTCACGCTTGAGCAGAAAAACGCCCGAAAATACATGAGCTTCTATGGGCAGTTAAAAGTGCTTTTTTTTTCTGCCCCATAGATTTAATTGGAAATGACCAAAAACGCGCGGGCAGAAGCATGTTGCACACGTGAGCGTTATTCCATTGTCTGCAATGTTTTATGAGCTGCCAGTCAAAACGCGCGTCTTCATGTATGCGTGTTAAAACGCACATAAAAAATGTGCACAATGCGCATAAAGCCCTTATTCACACTGGAATCGGCCTGCACGTGCAGCTTCGTGCGGGGCAGTATTGGGCAGCTCCTGGGAAGGACAGGTGCTGCGTGTGATTAGTACGCAGCCCCCATCCTCTATGGCAGTACGCGGCCGTACACCCCCCTACGCTCACCTCAAGTGCAGGTCCGTAGGGGTGCGTGTTTCCTGGCTCGGACGCTGACAGGATCCATCCTGTCAGCGTACGAGTACGCTCACCCTCACGGACGTGCAGGACGGGTGAGCGTACGGCCACGTAGTCCCATAGAGAATGACAGGGGCAGCGTACTAATCACACGCAGCACCTGTCCTTCCCAGGAGCTGCTCGATACGGCCCTGCACGGAGCTGTCCGTGAAGGCCGATTCCAGTGTGAATGAAGGAATCTGGACTTATAGCACCACCTAGGGAGTGACCAAACGATCATGTGGACCATGCCTGCAGCATTCAGAACATGTTTAGATTCGCTGTGATACGGATAATACCCTGTTGTCGGAAATCCTTACTCTAACCCAGCCAACTGGCCATTCTATATGCCCTACAGCCATTTCACAGGCTATTTCCCCATAAAAATAAACAGTATAATCAGTCTGGAGCTTGTTCAGAACAAGGAGGTTACTGGTTTCTGGCATTCTCTCACCAACAGGAAAGTTTATTTCTGTTTATATTCCATTGCAGTTAGCCAATCAGAAGACACGTGATGGACAGTGATGAATCCGGCCTCCCTCATCCCTGAACCCTCTGTAGCCCCATCCACTGCAAGGGGTTCCAACCACAAAAAAAAATAAAAAAAGTGTTTGACTATACATACACTTTAAAGACTGGGGGGAAAAGAGACAAGGTTTGAGCAAGAGCTGAGAATTCATGAAAGGTTGTTGACATTAAACTTTGTTTTTATTTATCGATTGCTTTTTTTGCATACAAACCTCCGTATGCTATATACATTTACTGTCAAGGTTTTCACATGGGAATTACTCTGTGCAGATTTTCCTCACGTGAATTAGGTATGCAAATTGTTATGATTGCTTTCAGGAAACAGAAGGCGCTTTTCATGCAAAAGAAAGATCACTGCAAGTCTTAAGGTGGCCATACACTCTACAACCATCGCAAGACTTTTATCGTACGATAATCGTGCAGTGTATGGGCACCTTTACTTAACAAAAGGCGAAAACATATATTTTTTTTGTTTGTGGGCACAAATGGAGCCATTTCAAGATGTATTGCAATAAGTGAATGAATTGTGCATGGCCTAGGTACATTTGGAGCTTATAAAAAGGTTAACCACAATAGGGTATGTTGCAGTGCAAAATAAGACGCATGAATATATATATATATATATATTTCATTGCACAGCACCACACTCTTTACAGAGGTGCATTGGGTGCCATTCAGAATGAATGGCAATACAACGAACCAGCACACCTAGTGTGTGGTGCATTGTGCTGTGCAATAGCGTAAGCTAAATGCACATTTATCATTATTATACAGGCTTTATATTTACTATGTGTTTAGCGCAACGCTATAGTGTGAGCTGCTCTTTAAAGTGGAACTAAACCTCCTCTTTCTCTGGCCCTGATACGTCGCCTGGTCTTCGGGCTCTTTGGCCATCTTGATTGGTCCAGCCAGAATGATATGACTCCATTGTACGTGCACACGGGTTCAATAATTCTGGCACCAAGGTATGCATAGTTCAGTGTACAGTCTAAAGAAGATTGTGAACAGACAGGTATGTTTGTTTTATTACAGAATTCCATGTCTCCTCTGTAATCACAAATCTGCCTGCTTGCAATGTGTTTTTAAACTGGAAGTGCAGTTGGGCTTTAATACGCTGCAAACCAGATTGCTCAAGAGTGGTCAGATTGCTCAGCAACAGTACCGTTTGTCCAAGCAAGACTAGTATTTCCTCATCACATTAGCTAATATAGGTGACTCCATAATTTTCTAATGTCATTTGCATGCTTATCACCTGCTGAATGTCAACTGATAACAATGGCAACTGAGCTGGAAGGAGAATTACACAATTTATGTGTGTAATTGCAGGCTTAGCTGTAGAGTGAAGGATGGCAAGGTCAGGGAGCCTGAACAAAAATACATTATACTAATACCTTACTCTTACTAATACTAAAAGCTTGTCAGAAAAGGAAGTGTTAGCTTTTTGGTAACTAATCAAGATTTATGTCCAATATCACTATACCGGCACAACATAAAGAAGATGCCCTCCTACTACTATAGTGTCCAACACCCCTTTCTGCCAGTCTCTCCACTGGTTTCCAATAGCCCAAAAAATACTATTCAAAATACTAACACCCAAAACCGGACCAACCCTCGAATCTCATAGGAGTCAGTCGAAACGCGCTACGTCGGTGACCCTTTTCAATCATTGGATTTACTTTTGCCGCAGGAACGTGTTGGATAACCTTCGGCCAATCAGCTGCAACCACCGTTTGTGTATTCGGACAGCAGCCGCTATCAATGCTCACAGCAGGAGATACGTCCATCCACAGTGTTCAGCGTTGATGGGGGAATCTTTTAGATTTTCTTTGTTCGGACCGTAGGATGAACGAAGAAAATTTAACCATGTACACGTGACTTAAGACCTCCTGCTCCCTAAAGCTGGCCATACACTGTTCTATTATTTTCGTTCAACCTGCAGGCTGAATGAAAATAATAGAACAGATTCTTCCATCAATGCTTACGAACACTGGTTGAGGAATCCCCGCTGTTTTCTTTGTATTCTAACAGCGCGCGCTGGCTGCGGTCAGAATACCAGAACAGAGCTGGCAGCTCACCGGTTGCGTTCGTTCGAAAATTTTCTGACCATCTCCATTCCGAACGGCTGCCAACAGTAGCACCCATGCGGGAATTTCTGACAGTTTCGGTAGACCTGACCGAAATTCATATAAATGTATGGCCAGCTTAACTTCCTCATCACCTTCTCCTATGCTTACCTCCAGGACTTCTCCAGAGTCTCTGCCATCCTCTGGAACTCCCCACCACAACCTGTCCAGCCATCTTCTACTCTGTCCACCTTTAGGCGATCCCCAAAACACATTAAGGGAATCCTATCCTACCTTAACCTAAATACTGAACTGTTACTTTCTCCATCAGCTCATCCCCACTAGTAACATGCAGCGGCACGGTGTGAACCCAGTTCACTGGAGTTCACCTAAGCCTGTGCAAAACGGTGACTGATATACCCCCTCCTGGCAAAATCAATTATGACTAGGACATTCCCAATCCTGTAGCTACTCATCACAAAGGTGCCTGGCCTACAGGATCTTGTGGTCTAAGGATCCATGACGTCAACACAGGGACATTCCACCGCCAGAGAGGAGGCGAAGAAAGGCAAGCACTCACTGTTGCAGGGCCGAGGATCAGGTGAGTATATCTTCTTTATTTTAGCCCCTAGACAAAAACGCGCGGTTAACCCTCCCAGTGTAGGGGTAGTCCCACTCCAATGGTTAATTTTTTACATGTCCTGGAATTCCTTGTTAATCCCGGCACGGTTATCACTTGCCTCTCCCTTTTAGATTGTAAGCTCTCACGAGCAGGGCCCACCTGATCCTTTTGTATTGAATGGTATTGTAACTGCACGGTCTCCCTTTATATTGTAAAGTGCTGTGCAAACTGTTGGTGCCATATACCGTATCTTGCGCTCCATAAGGCACACCTGACCATAGGTCACAGGGGTTCTGTGACAGCTGTAGTTAGTGACAGCTGAGACAGGTGGCGATGTGATCTATATACACACACACATACATACATACATACATACATACACACTGTTGCCCCCGTTAGCATGTAACACCAAAAGTTGATTATACCCATAGATATTTTCTAGCTTTCAGCGTCAATTTCACTAAAAGCTGCTTGAGGTGTCTGACAATCACAATGTATACTGCTGGCGTTCTAGTACAAAAATACATATATTTCTGTACAACGGATTGTAAATGTATCAAGAAGTTATTCAGTAATAAAAGAACAACCCTTCCACTTAGACACAGGCACCCTTGTGTACACATATAGGAGTTTCATAAGAGAGACATTTCGGTCCACTCACATACAAATAAAAGCAGGTGTGTTTTGTTGAAGTCATCACACCGCATTAATGGAAGATGCTGTATTTTCTAGAGTCTCAGGAGGATGCTGGCTTCCTTCTCCATAATTATAAAACAGATAAAATGTCAGCTTACTCTGGAGGGAATTTATCAAAACTGGAGCAGACGGAATCTGGAGCAGTCGCCCATAGTAACCAATCAGCTTCTCTCTTGTTTGTCCCTTTAAGCTTTGAAAATAAAAGTGTGAAGCTGGCTGGTTGCTATAGACAACTGCTCCAGATTCCGTTTGCTCCAGTTTTTTTATAAGTCCCCCTTGCGTGTCCTCACATGTGACATATGCCAGCTTCATCCTGTGACCTCGGCTGCAGTGTCAGAGGCACAGGGAGAAGGGGGACATCAATGTGTACTACACACAGACAGGGACACCTCTGTATAACAAGCACCGTCTGCCCTTCATAACGACAACACATCTACCTAATCCATGTGCAGTACAAGTCAGTGCATGCGAATGATGGAAGGTATGATGACACATTACACAGATGTAGTGAACATTTCCAGGGCGCACTCTGATCGAAATGACAAGTGCTCCCTGCAGACTGTCGGATCACAGTTCTCGAACAGACACTACAGCAGAGAATACAGAAACGCACGTACTGACCTCCTGATGTGCGATGTCCACTCCGAACTGCCAACCAGCAACCGATCAAATGCTACAGAGGGAGAGAAACTACAACATCCATCATGCCTTGCGGAAACAACAGGAACAACTGGTCATTTGTTGCAAGCTTTATTGATACAGAAACAACTCCTTCCCCGCCCCTCCCCTCTCTGTTTCCCCTCCCCCTCTGTCTGTCACAGTGCGGATGCTGTGTGTGCATCTGTCGCCTGCTGATTCCAGGCTCAGCCAACTTCTCCGCCATTTTACTGGGGGGTGAAGTGTGTGACGGAGGAAGACGTCTCAGGAGTTACTCGGTGTTCCATCATGTCTGTGCCGTGAACTAAAGCGTGTCATATATCAGTAGAAGTTCCTTCCAATAAAAATGTGTTTTCAAAACATTAGTCTGGTTTTCTGTTACACATTACTTTTACTGAAATATAAAAGGGGGGCAGAATCTGGAGCAGTTGCCCATATTAACCTATCAGCTCTTCTGTTAAGTTTTGACAATGAAAGAGAGACGCTGATTGGTTGCTATACACTGCTGTTCCAGTTTTGATAACTTCCCCTCTGGGAGTTTACAATTAGATAAAGTAAGTAAAGAGGTTTTTTTTTAAATTATTTTCTAATTGTTATTGGGGTCAAATCAGTGACTGTTTTTTTCTGTGGTGGTGAGAAAAATTGGAGTAATGGAATGGAAAATATTTCTCAAAAAAAATTTGAACAGCGAACAATCGAATGTTCAAATCAAACGGAATTTCAAAGGGCATTTGTGGAATCCCTGGTGGCATTATCGAAAGTTCTGACTAGGGATGAGCTCAGGTCTGAACCTGACAAGGAGGACAAAACCAGAGGAGAGAGGTAAGTGCGGGGGGGAGGCTGAACACTGTTTACATGTGATCTCAGCGACATCGCCGAGTTCACATGTAAACCAACAATCGGCTTCCCTCACTCTACATTTAGTCCTGCTTGTGCAAAGCAGGACTAAATGTAGAGAGGGCAACTTACCGCCCGGAACTTCCCCACAAGGACACCGCTGCCACCCCGGTGGCCTTGTGGGGAATCCGGGCCTGAGTACATCCCTACCCCACAGCTGCATGTAAACAAAGGGGGCCGAATGCTTGTGCTGACATCATTCATCTTATGTGGTCACATAGGTAAATGCCATTGACCAAATATAGGCATGTAGCCATATAAGATCAATGACAACCCTACATTCTGTCCCTCTGCTTACGTCAGGGGTGGCCAACTCCGGCCCTCCAGCGGTGCTTTAACTACAAATCCAAACATGCACCTGGGAGTCACGCCTGTAACTGTCAGTCTTGCAATGCTTCATGGGACTTGTGGTTTCCAACTCCTGGCTTACATCACGCTGTGGGCAGGGAATTCCCCACCAGCAGCTGATTGGATGGCACAGATGTAAATTCTGTAGCTCATTCATAGCAGATCCAGGGATAATCCTTAAAGGAGAACTATGGGGTCAGTGTTTTTCCCCATAGTTCTCCTTAGGGTAACGGGAGGACACAAACTAGCGTCCTCCCGTCACCCTAAGCTCACTATACCGCGAGCTACAGCTCGCGGTATACTAAGACGCCGCAGCTGGAGCGGATCCCGACTTAGATGACGGGATTCGCCCAGCTGCGTGAGTGACAGCTGGCTCTGCCTATCTAGAGGCAGAGCCAGCTGTACCCTCCCCCGTCCGTTCTGCCAGTCAGCGCTGGCAGATCGGAGCGGGGAGAGGGGAATCCAGCCCCTCCCCTGTCACGGCTGAGAGAGCCGTGACAGGATCGAGAGGTGAGCGAACCCGGTATGTGTTCGCTCACCTCCCGATCTACTGAGCCGACCTGTGACAGTCTCATTGTCACAGGTCGGCTAGAACTATGAGGTGAGTGAAAAGCACTCACCTCATAGTTCTCCTTTAATCTGGGAATTATGTCAGTTAAAGGAACCTTGCAAGTTAACATAAATAAATAAATTGTGCTCCCATTAGCCTCTTGTTAACCCTTCCTTGACCTGAATAAGCCCTATTTAACGCCTGCCCCCCTTAGTTTGCTGCTGATTGTTTTCCCACTATTTCTATTTACTATTACTATTTAGACTTTTTGTGTGTTTGATTTGCATTTGACTTTTACCTTAATTTATTAAGTGACACATTTAAGGAAAAAATTCTAAATTGTGAAAAAAAGCCTTAAAATTCCAAAAAGCATTGCCCTTCTTCTAGTAGATCCGTAAAAAATAAGTTAAGGCAACTGGACTTGCTGTATTTTTCTTGAAGACGTTTCACTGGTCATCCAACCAGCTTTATCAATTCAGAATGGCTTGATCCAAAATTCTCTGGGAATAAATATGGTGAATGTTGTTCCAATCCATATGATCTGTTAGTCACAACCAGGTGTTGATTGCATTTGTATAATTGAAACTAGGAGGTGTTAATAACCTGCCCAGAGAGAGGTGTTACCGTAAAACAGCATTGTATGTGCAGACAATAGATGCCATTGGTTCAGATATGTCATTGGTTCAGTCATTGGTTCAGATATGTGGACGACACTTGGGTCAAGATTCACAAACAACAGTTACAGGCTTTCACTGACCATATCAACTCAGTGGATCATAACATCAAGTTTATGCTGGAAGATATGCAAAACAACAAACTGTAATTGCTTTTTTCACTTTTACATATTGTAACTTGGACACTCAACTGTAGACCGCAGGTGCAAGTAAAATGCAGTTTTATTAAGGGCCAACGCCATACATCTCGTTCCATCCACAGGGTAGACCTCCCCTGTTGCACAAGATAGCTTCCCTTGTGAGCCCTCACTCTGCTCTCTCAGCAGTGTGTCCCAGCGGTCCTAGGGTCACCGACCTTCCAGACCTCTCCCAGCCTTCCCTGGCTGTTCCACACGCACCTGAGTCTGCTGTGGCGCTAGTCTTCCTGCACCCACACAACTTACACTACTCTGAGCTCTGGGCTGGCTTCTTAACCAGTTGACATCCGCGGTGTTAAACCCACTTCCCATGCAGGCCATTTTTCAGTATTCAGCGCTGCGGTACTTTGACTGACATTTATTCCGTCATGCAGCGCTGTACTTAAATCCCCCCCCCCCCCCCCCCATGCTGCTTAAAGGACTTACCTTAAATGATGCTTCTTGATCCGATCATCTTCTTCGTTCCAGTAATTTTAAGGAGTCCCTCCAGCACTGGTGGTGGTCTCTGATGGAGCGCTGACTGCTGTGTATTCGGTGTCCCCACGGTGTCTGTCCGATGTGCACGCTCCCGGCTGTGTGCATTGCGTCTCTCCTCTTCTCCCCGCCAAAGACCTCTACTGTGCATGTGCCCGCCCCAGATCTTCAGACAGGAGCGAGTGGCGGAGGCACGTGTAATCACCTTTTTGGTAACTTTTTAATTTTTTTTAATGTTTTTGCATATATCTACTACTTTTCTTGTAAGAACATCCCTGCCCTGGTCAGCAGGGACAGCAATGCTCAAACTAAAAATCTTACAAGCGATCATATCCATGGTTACTGTACCACTGGCTAGATGTGGCCCAATGTGTGTTGCTTGAGGTACTAGCTTGCCTTGCTGCATGTGCCATGTCAGAGAGGACCCTTGGTGCAGTGATGGGGGGATTTATTACTTAGAAACCAAATTGTAATAACCTGGAGTGAGGGTGTACAGTGTTTTAGGTGCACATTGTTTTTTCATTTTTAATAAATGATGCAGTGAGGTGTGACAAAAAAAAGCAGCTTTGGAGTGGACTATAAGCAACATCTGCCTGATGGCCTTTAATTTCCACAAGCTAAAAGGTATTATCTAGAAAACAGCAGCACGCTTTTAATCGGGGAATTCTCCAAAATGTACTAGAGACAAAGAACACAGTCTGATGTTTTGCTACAATAAATAAGAGTCTTCAGAGAAAACAGCAGTGTAAAATTTGCCAGCAGTACAACTATTTTAAAAGACAATTTTAGGCCCAAAATAACTAGAGAAAGAGAGCAAAGGTAGGAGATATACAACAGGAATGAAATTACCACAGATGATAAAGCCTAACTGGTGTATGCCTAAATGTGGTTTATCTATGGGGATAGGGCGTTGCATTGAACGTGAGTGAGATAACATAAGGCGTTTCATTATTATGTTTTAACATAAAAGATATTTATAGAAAAAAGTAGCTGAGGTGTTGACAATTGAAGAGCTACCTATCAATCGGTTGTTGTGGACAAATATTTGTCCTTAATAGGATTTTCGGGTGTACAGACCTGTGTCACAATATCTGGGAATCCGTGCTGGATTTTGCCTTTGGTTCCTGGTTCTGGGCTGTCAGCCTATGGCCTTTCACATGGCTACAGCCAATCTGCACTCCTCCTCCCCTATTTAGCACTACCTCACTTGTTGCTCTTCTTTCATTCCTTGTGCCAGGCCCCTTGGTTCTTTAGTGACCTAAATTTCCTGCGCTTACTTTGGATCCCTGCGCCTTTGGCTTCCCTGTACCCAGCTGGTCTCCCTGTTTGTCTAAATCTCTTGCTTCATTCTCAGTGTTCCTGTACTACCCTGATTTTAGTGTTTGCCTTAGAATATTGCTGCAGACCTTCAATTGCTTTCACCAGTGTGCTGTGAGTCTCCCTGTACTGCCTTCATTGCCGTGTTTCCTCGAAAATAAGACACTGTCTTATATTTTTTTTTCCCAAAAAAAACACACTAGGTCTTATTTTCGGGGATGTCTTATTTTTTTTTTCTTCATACAGTACTGGAGAAGGGGAGTGAAAGAATACTGTCACACAGTGTCACAGTACGGTACCTGGCTGCAGCTGTCTGGAGCTCTCCGATCTGATGTTGTCCAGGGAGCCACCAATCAGAAGTTCCCTCACCTCAGCTGACCTCACTTTGACCCCACTGGCCATGCCGTGCTGTGCCTGCTGGGAAATGTAGTTTTCAGCGGCAGCCGAGGCAGACAGGTGTGTGTGCGGGCGGGAGGGAGGGAGCTGTGGCCAGTAAGCTTTTTGCGGTCTTCACATGTTTTATAAGACAAGCTGCACATATAATTACACTCAGACCCCTTGCACATGTATTGCTGCATCCAAGCAGCCAGCAAGGGGTCTGAGTGTAAAATT